ATTTTGCCATGACATTGATGTCTGGCTTTCATTCTGATAATTACTAACTTATAATTGGAATTTTGTAAACTTTGGTTCAGTTTTTGACTTTTTTTTATCCTTAATGTGCCAAATAAATAATTTCCCTATGCAAAGGGGAAGAGCAGCATTGGGGAATTATGATTATTAAAAGGTACAAAGCAGCTGGTCTGTTATTATATGTCTTTTTGTTTAGTTGTAATGTGACAGCATTGTTCACAGGATAGTTTTTTTAAAAAGACCTTTGGTAGCAGACCAGCAAAAACCTGATAAAACCAATTGAAAGGTTAAAGCAAACAAACAAAAAGACTAAATAAAATAGACTAAGATATTCATTTATTGGCAGTATTTTCTCTTAATGCATTTTGTAATGCTTCCATTGGTAGAATGTTAGCTTATGCTTATGGTGTATAACTTAAAGCCCAGCTGATGTTTGAGAGAGTAAGTGATGCTAATTGTCAAGTTTCAGAAATGAAGTGTTTCGACTCTGTATTTTGGTCTGTTTACAATAATTGAAAGTAAAATTTCCATTGTGATCACTTTTTAATCTGCACATGTGAGCATTAAAATAAGAGGCTACGTGTTTAATAACTGGCACACGTTAATGTTTTTATAGCTTTCGTATGTTTTGGTTTATATATTAAAGTATGAAACAGACTCAGCTGATCTGCTTTTTTAAAAATAACTGCATCTTCGTACAAATATTTGGATTTTTATTATAAATGACAAGCTAGTAAAAAACACTGATGTGATAGCCTTTAAATACTATAATAAAGGGAAACGTTTTTTGCCTTTACTTCTTAAAGGCTGACACTTTAATTCGTGTAGAATTTGTAAACAAACATTAAGCTGTTTGCAAGACAGAATACTAGTTCCTCATGTTAGAAAAGTTTTTTTTTAAAAGGGCAACTCTCCCACATTCGTGATATTATACAGTTGCATATTGTTTACAGTTCTTTTAAGTAACTTGATATATATATTTTGTTCTTGGTCTTAACATAAAATTCCTAATTTTTCATTTAACTTATATTTTTCCACTAGTAGGAGTAAATTTTCAGTACTTCTGGGACTACTAATCTGATAATTGATTTATATATATTAAAAAAATAGATGGTGTGTGTATGTGTGTATTGCTGTATACATATATACACACACACGTACACCCTAGCTGATGCAGTGTCAGTGTAATAATACCATGAGAAGATTCTGTGTGCTGCATGGTATTGGGAACTAAATAGCAGAAGCTGTGTCACTTTTTGACACTCAGATGCAATATGTTTGGGATTCTGGTTTTTTGAACCAGAGGTGCTTTTAACTGATCTTAACATTAGAAGTAATGAAATAAGTTTTTGTTACACTAGTATGCCTTTGAAATAGTCTAACCAAACCACTTCTAGCCTTCAATAGTGTGACTTTCTCAAATGTATGTCCAATATAATTGAAGCATGTGATGTCTGGTCCTCTGATTCACCTTCCTGGAGAAGTCAGAAATACTAAAAGATTTCAGTCTTTTAAATCTCTCTTTTTGTTTGCTTTGCCTTACTTCTGCCTTCAGTAGAGCGTTTCTGTTGTTGGAGGTTCCTGGCTGACTTGATCAATTTCTGTCATAGACTTCATAGCTAAGCATGAATATCATTTTATCTGCTCAGTCACTTAACACCTAAAAAAGGCTGCCTGTCTTTCTGTTCACAAGGCACGTAAACTTCCTTGAGATCCTTTGCAAATGAGAACTTTGGGAACATTTCTGGTTGCAAATGTTCCCAAATAGTACTTGTCATCAAATTCACCTTTCCTCTGCTAAGTTTTGAGGAAGGTACTCATATTTAATTCAAAGACATTCCTATTGGCATGTGGTATTTACGTGAGACTTAGAGGTAGAACTTCCCCATCTGCTAAAACGCCACCAGTATGCAGCACAAAGGGTTAGAAGTCTGAGCTGCTGCTTTGGAAGCAAAAAGGGCTAGGCCTTTTGCTTATTTGTACAACCAGTTAAGGTCAACGGAGTGTTAGTTTTTGGTTTTTTTTTTTTTTTGTTCTGCCCTGAAAATTTTCTGTCTCAAGTATGAACCAAAGCTCTCTGCGTGACTTTCGGATACTGTAATAACAACTTAATTTTGTTCTACAACATCAGTTTGCCCTACAGCTGCTCTTTTTTTGCTCATGGCCTACTTCCATTTGGTTCACAGATCACCTTTAAATTTCCTTAAGACTACTTGCTGAATAGTTTCTTTTAAGAATGATTCTGTTCCCCTCAAGGTGTTATCTCATCTTCTGGCTGATATATCCATGACCAAAGTTTACCAAGATGCTTTTGAGACAGCTTGCAAAGTAAATAAGTAATTTCTTAGGTAACGTATACTGAGTAGGTCTCAGCTCAGTCATTTTCATCTACTCATTGGATTAATTATGTATATAAAAGCAGGGTTTTTTTGGTTTTAATATGATCTGTATTTCCCAGATCTGTGCTATTTTGTATACAACCTTGCAACTCTGTTTGCCATAAAATCAGATGATGATCTTCCACAGTATCATGAATTAGGAGAGGATAAGCAGGACAGCAGCTTGGATGCTTTTTTACCTTTGCAAAGATCAGGGTTGCATTAGCCCTCTAAACTGCCCCCCACCCCCACCCCAGTCTGCCCATTGCTCATGAGCGAGTGACTTGACTTGCTTCTTTGAAATCTTTGAAATCGTTAGGAAGCAGCTTGTTTGGCCTTCTGTATGTGTTCTTTACTGACCCTAAAGTTTAACATTTAGTGAATTTAAAAAAAAAAAAAAAAAGCCCTCTGTTTTTAACAACCTTATTTACACATCTTTGCCTGTTCTATTAAGGAGGAAATACAACTTCATCTTTCTACTTGTTGGAAGAACAATGTCTTCTAAGGCAGCAGGCTATTGCTCTTGGTGGCAAAACAGCAGCTGGGAAAACCTCCTCTCAAGGAGCTGTGTGCACGCTATAGTATAGCTCCTTTAAATGAGCATTTTTTGTGTGTTATGATATCCCATTTACTAACGTTGACTTCTGTGCATGGTACACTAAACCCATACAGGTTCTCTTCTTGAAGCTAAGATTAAAAACAATATGGAATATTAAAGATGAGCCTAAACTTTAAACTAGGATATTTATACACACACAAGTTTTTCGTTTTCTTAATTTATTGGACTTAGATTTTTAGCGCTTTAGAAACAGGTGTTTTACTCCTGAGACCTCTTATTGATTCTACTTCAGAAAGCCGTTCACCAATTAAGTTTTGTTGAATGTGGCCATCACGTTGCTTATGTAGATAAATGTCCTAGTAACACTTTTAAATTGAGAAGAAGGAAATCTCTGAACTGAGAACGAAGTCACTGTGTTAACTGGAGGCAGTTGCTGATTTCACAGTTAGTCTCTTGAATGTGATTAAAAAGGACAGTTTTCTTCATGCAATGTGACGAATACTTACTGTGATAGTTGAAACTTACTTTCTGGGGTAGAATAAATAGTGGGGGTGTGTGTGTGTGTTTTTTCTTCCCTATTCTAGACAAACAGTTTTTAGCACTGGTTGGCATTGCTGCCTAGTCCATCTTGTGAAATTTAAGCACTTTGCACTGGGAGTACTGAAATCAGATGTGTTGTCAAGTGTAATTGAAATGTCTGTTCCACAGTAGGTAGGAAAAGCAGCACTCTGCTTAGGACTTCCTTAATCAGGTATGGTGAAATTCTGCGCCCTAGATTCTTCTAGTTCTTTCTTAGGTGTGATATGGATAAACGTCTTGGGCACAACTATGCATTATCTAACTACTCCATAATGCTTTAGTGATGCTTCTGCATCTTGCAGTTTGGGGAGATGGCAAACGCTTGTTGGTTGAAGGTCTTCATTCATGCTGTCTGTGGCTGTCGCAAGCTTTCAAGGTGTTTTTTGCGTTGGAGACTTCTGCCAGTTATCAAAAAACGGAATGAAAAGTAGCAAGTAAGTAGTGGATGCAACTAGTTATCTCAGTCATTCTGCTAATTAGAGGCAGTGGCTGAATTCACTGTTAGGTTCTCTTGAGCTGTTACTTAGTGTTGAAGGACGTTTTACTCTCCTACACGATTTCCTTTGCTTAGGATGATCTGTTAGTAGCATGAAAATGGATGAGCTGTAAATATTTTCTTTTAAGTATGACAACTATTATTCCGTAAGACAAAAAAGTCTTTCTACTGTTTGTAGCTTCTTGCAAAGACAAAATCATCTTCTAAAGTATGGTGAATGTGTACTATGTTTTTCCTGCTTCTCTTCTAAATTCATAACTGTTTTAGAGTGGAAACTGTTTACTTTGTCAATACCTACCTCCTGAGTTCAGCAATAATTGGCAAGGTAGACACTCTTCCAGTGGATTAAATATATTGGCTAAGCACTATGGATTGTGTCAGAATTCTTCAGAGTTTGAACTTTTGATATGCAAATTCTTATCATCATATCTGAAACTATGATGAACAAACTTGTTTTGCTGTAAATACTTTCCCTGTTTTCATAAAAAGGACTACTTATCCTGTTTCAAGGAAGTGGCTTTAAGGAAAAGATCAACTTTCTTCTTAGTAGTTGGTTAATATATATATGTATTCTTTGAAGATGCTAGAGATGTAGCTTCTCAGTTCTGCAGTTTCTTTATCCTTAGAAGTGGGAAGGAACTACTTTATCTAATAGTTGCCTATTTATCAAAGGGCCTGGGAAACATAAACTGTTTTGCCACATGATTCCAGCTTTTATTCATGTGAAGGGCTAGTTGGCATTTTTCAGAAATCTGGATTAGAGTGACAAAAACCAAAGGTGCAGGCAAAATGTAACTCCCCCCCCACCCCCCAAATATACTGGATGATTCCAGTTTGGGATGGGATTATTCTTGTATTTTGTTTTTCTGAAGGACTTTAGCTTCAGGGGATCCTTTTAAGAATGTTTTTTTGAAATGTTAAAACACCATTTTATTACGCAATGTAAAAAAGCATGATGAACAGTCACGTAGCTTTAGCTTCACAATTTTCATTGTCTCCAATAAAATGTTGCATTTGTCCTGTTCTTACTGTTTCCTTGCCTGTTTATCAGATAAAATGTCCAAAACCAAGAGCCTTTTGATTAAACCTGAAGCCTATTAAATAACTGTTGGTTTAAGAATTTTTTCAGGTGTTGTATACCAGATGGTAGAACAATAAATATGTAAATACCTCATTTAATTTCTAAGGGACGTGACTCAAATTCTTAAAACTAATGTAAACTGAAGTGCTACTTCCTCAATAAACGTGCTGAAATGGATAATGTGCTTATCTCAGTGTTGCTAAATCACAGTGAAAACCAGGAACTCTTACATAATTAATTCTAGTAGTCAAGGTGAAGAACTGTGTTTTTTTTAAAAAAAAAAAAAAAAAAAAAAAGCTAATTGGAGCCAATTTACCTTATTTTTAAAATGGCAGCTCCTCTTTTGCCAGAGAGGGTGACCCTTCTGTTATGTTTGGGTTAATGTATTAAATTCTTCCACTTCTCCCCATCTCCTTTCCATTTGTAACTCTTGCTAGCTGTTGTCTGTAGCCTGTGCTTGGACTACTAACAACTATTAGGGCTTTATGTTCTTGTTGTTTATCTTCTGTCCTGAAGATAAACACTTGAATTAAAATAACTTTAATATTACAAATATCTGGCAGCATTGAGAGTCTCTCCAGAAGCAGCCATGACCACTGCCCTCAAGATGTCACATCTCCTGCTATTAAAGCAAGCAAGTCAAACAAGAAACGAACAGAGCCATAACAAAAGTAATCTAGTATTTTGGCCTGAAGCATAAGAGTGGTTACTGCTTCTCTCAGACATTAACTCCTTGGGATAAAAGATACCATGTCAGCGTAGCATAATTCTCCAGTATGTCTCTTTAGCTAAAGTGCTACTACTTTGAGGTGGGTTCTGAACCACTGGATTGATTTAAATTAGCAATTTCAAATAGGCTCTTATGCTTGTAGGAAAGAAGCTAACTTCAATTTAGTGAAGAAGCAAAACTCTTCCTAAACAATATTCTCGCACTGGCTGTGCTGCGATTTATAGAGATGGTGGACTTGGCAGCATACCCTGATCTACAGTATGCTAACTAGACTTATTAAAAGAAATCTTCTCCCAGCCATGACAGTGCGAGCCAGGGCTCCATGCCTAGTACCGAATGCAGGTGTATTTTAGATGAAAATGACGTTTATCTGTGTATTGTAATACTCTAAGTTTGCCAGAAAATGTAAGAAAACTTTTGATATTTTATCACTCATGCTATCTTTTTGCAAATTTCCAAATAGTGCAAATTTTGCCCTGTTTTGCAAGTTTGCGAACAAGTGAAATCCTGTTTCCTGCAAGGGGGTAACAAGACAAGAGAGTCAGGCAACCTCCTTTAAGTCACTCTTCATTCTGTGTATAATAGAGAAAGTGTTATGTAGTGGTGAGGGCATACTGGTAGACAGAGCCTCTCCTTAGCCTGTGAGGGATGCTCTCCTTAAAGGTCTAATTTAGTTAAATATCCAGCTGTCAGCCCCTGTGATTGAGTCATTCCAGGTTGTCCAGCAGTGCTCTATGGTGTAGCTAGAAATAAAAATAAATCTTGGAAAATCCACAAGACTGCAAACAATCTAATTAGCAAAGCTTATTGTTTTTTATCAGTTGCTTTTGAAAAGCCCCCCCTCTTTTTTTATGAATGTATGTAAGCACAGCACAGTATGTTCTCTCTAATAATGTTAAGTTGTAGAATTTTCAAATGAGGTTTGAAAATAATAGAAGACCCCAGACCACCCTCAGTTTTAAGCTGTCCTTGAACACTGTTAGTTTTATATGCAAAATATTAGTGTTAGCAGTGCTGCTAATTGCAGTATTTATCTTCTGCAAGTTACAGAAGTGCAGTTTCTTAAAACTAACTGCGTCTTCTGGGAAGAAATATCCTAGACCAGAAATAATCCAAAAGCATCATAATGTGTCAATAATAAAATAACCAAACAACTTTTATCTGCGGAGCACATGGTAAGTATAAAATGTTACCCCCGTGGTTTATCTGGCCTCTGATTTGCAGGGCAAATTTGAGTGGAGGCAGCAGCTGCAGCCTTTGGAAAGTTTAAATGCTGCGAAATTGTGATTTGAAATGTCCTTACTTGTCATGCAGACTTTTACAGAGTGTAAATGGATTTTTTCAATTTATGGCCCAGACTATTTTCGTACATTGAAAACATTCCTCCATTATAATCAGAAGCTTAAAATGAGCAAATGTGAGATATTACAGTAACTCCTCTCATGGAATACAATTAACTTCCCAATCTGATAGCTGATCTTAATAATGATCCTGTGAAATTCTGGGGCTAATAAGGACCAGATGCACTCAAACAACAACTCTGGTTCACATGCAAATACATGTGAACCAGAGACAGCACTCACTTGAAATATATCCAAAAACCTGAAGCAGGTAAAATTAAAGAACATAGCTTGTTTGTGTTTCAGTTGGTGTACATGCAACAGGCATCTCTCCCAGCACCCAGTGAAGTAAGTCTTTCAGGATGCTTCACTGAGATGATTAGATGCAGATAACATTTTTAAGCATTTGTCACTGCACAACTGAATACACCACCAAAAGATGGAAGACGGTGGTTTTTAAGGTCGTTTCCAGTATCTTCCTAGGCACAGTGGTCTGTCTTAATATATTTACATGGCTTCAATTTATATTCCTACCTCTTCTCATTACCCAAAAGCAACAATGCGTTCTCTTTGTGACTAAAGCTTCCTGTACACTGAATTCCATGCAGCTTTTTTGTTACATGTTTCTTCCTTAACTGGGCTGTCCTAAGTTTTAAGAAAACTTTATTCTGTTTTATTTCTACAGAGCACAGGTTCAATATAAAGTCATGTTGTGGTCCTTGTCCTTTCCACCTGAAAGTATTTTGGTATTAGTTCTGTGACTGGTTAGGCAACTGAGACAAGGCTGCTAGCATCAGCTAGTATCGCCTGAAGTCTAGCAGCTGTACTGTTTTGGTGTGTTGGATCCTTAACAGTAGTCACAGTCCCTGAAGTATGGCTCTGTATTTTTCTTCCATCAAAGCATGCCTCTTGCTTCACACCACTGCAGCCTTTAGCTTTGATTAGAATCGCTGTAGATAAGTGCTGGACACTTACGTTTCAAGTGCTTTAGCAGAGCTAGATCTAGCACTGCGATCAATTCTCAGCGGGTCCCTCCTCTTTTAGCACACAAACAACTGACTGTACTTTCAACAGCACAGTCCCTGTAGTTCTGGGAGCTGCTGTGTTTATATACAGCTTTCAAAATGTTCCACGTGGCTCCGAAAAAAACCGTACACCTATAGCTACTGGCTCAGTAAAGCGGGAAGGGGTTGTAGTGGTGCTACTGTTATCCTCCAGCTTTGGTAGGGAGCATTCAGCTGCCTGAGGAAGCGGCGAACGGAAGGTTTTGTGGCAGTAGAGCACCCTGACTCCTAGCAGGGCCGTTCTCCGCGCTTCTCTTCCGGCGAACGGGGTCCAGCCGCCCCGACGGGCCCCAGGGCGGCCGAGCAGAGCCCTCCTCGCTGCCGCCGACGGCCGCCGCCCCACC